AAAAAAAATCGAATCATGGATTACAAGAAAAGAAAACAAACATTTCGATCATGGATTACAAAAAATTCTATTATGGGTTAGCAAAAAACCAAAAAATTCGATCATGGATTACAAAAAAATCTAATACGGGGATTACCAAAAAAAAAAAAAAAAAAAAAAAAAAAAAAACCGTAAACGGAATCGCCGATTCACTGTTCGGACTCGCCAATTCCGTACAGTGAATCTGCGATTCACTGTACAGAATCGTCCGGTTCTCTCTAGAACCGGACGATTTCCGATTTTTGGGCGATCCGGTTCCTTTTTCACTATTTCCGAGTCGAACCGGGCGAGTCCGGTTCGACTCGGCGTTTTTTAAAACGCTGGTTCAACCTGATACAATCCAATTAAAGCGTACTTCTAAATTTTACCATAATGTGTAATTTTGCCAATGGTTTGTATAAAACTGGTGCTTTTAACAATCAAAGTAAAACGCACCTTTAAATAATGTCAAGAAATGTGGTTTCAATACTGGAAATCCGATAGTCTTAAAATATATTTTCATCTTTAATTATAAAATTTAAATAATCAAATAATATCAAGAGAAATGTGGTTTCAATACTGAAAATCTTTGTGATAGCCTTAAAATATATTTTCATCTTTAATTATAAAATTGAGTGTAGATTAAGAAGATCTATGGAAACTTAAAAATCTTGAAAATTGACTGTCCAAAAATGGGTTACAAGATATACTATTTACAAAACTTGAAATCCATTTTTTTCTCATTTTCATACATCTTGATGTAGAGATGATCAATTTGGAAATATTTGAGCATCAAAACAATCTCTTTTAGTGAAATTTTTTTAGGTGGGTTCTAATTTGATTGTTTAGTGCTTCAGCTCTGTATAAACTTTTTAATTTAAAGCGTGGTGTTTATATGAAGGAAAATTGTTTGGTGCGTTACTATGCGGACTTGGAGATCTATACCGTCCACCAAAATAGGATCCCATAAATAATAATCTTTCAAAGAAAAAATCAACGGTTCAAATATTTTCTCTAAAAAATATCATTTTTATTTTGAAAATTTTATTTATTTTTACATATTAATAATCTCCCATTAAAGATTATATATTCCTTAAAAATTAAAATCAAATTTTATTTAAAAAATAAATTATTAAAGGAGATAGTGGACTTATGGAAATTGTCTTTATATGAATCAACTGACTCATAATATGTGACCCTTTCATAAAGTGCATCATCATCATCGTAGCATTTCTTCAATTAATTGGGATCAGCTACATAAATTTTAGTCTGTCATTCTACTCTATTATATGTTGTACCCCTCATTGAGGCCATAAATCTTAATTTTAAACTACTTTCTATTATATCATTTTGGCTCTACCACTTGTCCTTATCAATCATTCAAAATGATTGTGAATATTGAAAAAAACAAAGTCAGATTTTTTAAATTGAAATGCGTCCTATAGTATTCATTTTATACCGTGCGTACGAACTTTAAGTCCGGTGTAATGTGCCCATCTTTAAGATGGACATTTGTGGGTCAGCGAGCTCACACAAAACTTCTCCTTACTATTTAAAAGCAGCATTTAAAAACCCAAATCGGTGGGCACTAAAAGGGAATAACCATTTTTTTCACTTCATAATTAAACTTTTTAAACGAGACTTTTTTACCCTTATTTGGTTTTTGAACGAACTGAAATGGCTGGATTTTCAATTGTTCAAAAATCGAAAATAAGTCAATTTCGGTTTTTTAACAACCGAAAATAGCGAGGTTCGTTTAAGCTTCTAGAATACGCAATTCTATCTTCGGTTGTTCAACATTCGAAAATGTCATATTTTTTGTTGTTTAATATCCAAAAATATCATATTTTCGGTTGTTCAACATCTAAAATAAGAATGCAAATTCTAAGCTTCTGTCCTATTTTCGGTTATTTAACAAAAAAAAATTTGTACATTTTCCGATGTTGAACAACCGAAAATAGGACTGCATATTCCAACAAGCTTCTGGAATATGCAGTCCTATTCTCGGTTGTTCAACAACCAAAAATAAAAATGCAAATTCCAAGCTTCTACCTATTTTCGGTTCTTCAAAAATAAAAAAAAGGTCAAAAAGTCTTTTTAAATTTTATTTTATTTTACGAAGTGAAAAACAGACATTCCAATAATAACGAAAACTATTTGGTATTTTGATAATAATGAAAACTATAACGTACATATACGTAATTTTCAATGCTTACAAAATGGGTATGTAGAGTCGACCTAAAAAAGCACTTAATAGCTTAAAAAAAAATAAAAAAATAAAAAAGAGGACTTAAGGAAGGTTAAACCAATTTTGTCATTCCCAATAAAATCAGGCATCTTGATGAGAAATCGCCAAATTTTAAAATATTGCTGGAGAGAGAGGCTGAAGGGCAGTAACAAGAGTGAGAAAAGAGGGAGGGGAACTCTGAGAAGAGGAGGGCACTCACACTCACGCTTGATGATAGATGGATGTATCATAGTAAGCAAAAGCAGATGTATCATAGTAAGCAAAAGCAGGTGCATTTTATTTGCGTGCGCGGCTTCACTTGTACTCGAAGCAAAAGTCGTAGGGTTGCTTGCAAACACAACGCCCTTAATCCCACTACTATCAATGCCAGTGCCAAACCACTCTCTCTTCACCCATTGTTATCATCTTTTGTTGGGCTTTTTCTTTTTGCTTTTTTTTTTTTTTTTGTAGAAAGAAATGAGGAAAATAAAAATAAAAAGCAACACAAAGAGAACTGAGAAAGAAATGTGGGGAAAGGGAGGGAGAGAGGGAAGAGAAAAGAAGAAAAGAGGCGATATTGTTACTCATGAGATGACCTTGTTGAAACCACATACCACGGAAGGTGACTTCAAAATCCTGACTTCTTTTGTTGGGCTAACTTCCAAAAGAAATCTTACCTTTTTTTTTGGAATTATTAGAGATTACAAGAGAAGGTAAAGAGGCATCACCCTTTGCCAAAACATGTCACAGAATTCGCTTAACGATAAACATGAATAAAAGAGACCGACATGGATGATACCAAATCTCTACCAATTTCGGCTAAACCAAGAGTACCGAAAGAGCTACCATCGAAATTGAGTTTTAGACTACCAGCAAGAGGTACACTCCAAATATATGTCAGTCTACTTCTAACACAACCAAGAATTAGTGTTGTTCTCAAAACAATTAGTGTTGTTCTCCCACCGATGCAAATGTAAGAATTGCACTAGTAGGGCTCTTAGTAGGGGCTCTTTCTCTGATGTATTGGTTATCATTGATAATTCACCAAGAACAGTCCAATTTTGAGAGGACGGGATCTAGGTATTGGGAACTCAAAACCTAAAAAAAACTTCCTTGTTTATATTTAGATGGATGTCAAAATTTTGAATAAAAAAAAAATCCTTCCAAGTATGCCTTTCACGTGAGGGAGTAAATATACAATATACTTCTACATGAGCATAGTATAATGCGCTCAAGTTGTTTTTACTTTGCTTAGAGCAATGTCCTGAAATCCACTTGTTTTTTTATCTCGAAATAGCGAAAATTACCTAAACATTATTTATTAAATAAAATAATATATAATATAGAGAATGTACCAAATAGCTAGTGTTTTAAATTCCAAATCGATGAGGTAGATCATTCACTCACAAATCTGTATCGTATCATTGGATCAATGATCTGGATCTGGATCTAGATCCGGATTGGTCTAAATCTTAATCCAAACAAATATTATAAATAAATAAATTAATTAAAATTAAAACAAAAGTTTAGGGGTAGGATATAGGGAAATCTAAAAAAACATTTGATAAATTTTTTGAAGGGTATGGTTTCTATAAGGTTGCAACCT